CGGGATTGGGGGTGGGGGCGGGTTGTGCGGGGCAAGAGGAAGATTTTGAGGTAAAAAAGGGGGGTTTTGAGATAAAAAAGTCAGATTTGAGGGAGGTTTTGGGGTGAAAGGGGCAGATTTGGGGGTGGGGGGCGGGTTGTGAGGGGCAAGAGGAAGATTTTGAGGTAAAAAGGGAGTTTTTGAGGTAGAAAAGGCAGATTTGGGGGAGACTTGGGGGTGAAAGGGTCAGATTTTGAGGTGAAAGGGAGAGATTTTTTGGTGAAACAGGGAGATTTTGGGTGTGGGGCCAGATTTGGGGGTGAAACGGGCAGATTTAGGGCTCTGGAGGCAGATTTGGGGGCAAAAAGGGCAGATTTTGGGTGGGGGGAGAAATTATGGGGTGAAAAGGAGCAGATTTTGGTGCCTGGAGGGAGATTTTGGTGCCTGGAGAGGGATTTGGGGGTGAAAAGGGGCAAATTTGGGGCTGAAAGGGGCAGATTTTGGTGCCTGGGGGCAGATTTTGGGGTGAAAAGGGGCAGATTTTGGTGCCTGGAGGCAGATTTGGGGCTGAAAGGGGCAGATTTTGAGGTGAAAGGGGCAGATTTTGGTGCCTGGGGGCAGATTTTGGTGCCTGGGGGCAGATTTTGGGGTGAAAAGGGGCAGATTTTGGTGCCTGGAGGCAGATTTGGGGCTGAAAGGGGCAGATTTTGAGGTGAAAGGGGCAGATTTTGGTGCCTGGGGGCAGATTTTGGTGCCTGGGGGCAGATTTTGGGGTGAAAAGGGGCAGATTTTGGTGCCTGGAGGCAGATTTGGGGCTGAAAGGGGCAGATTTTGAGGTGAAAGGGGCAGATTTTGGTGCCTGGGGGCAGATTTTGGTGCCTGGGGGCAGATTTTGGGGTGAAAAGGGGCAGATTTTGGTGCCTGGAGGCAGATTTGGGGCTGAAAGGGGCAGATTTTGAGGTGAAAGGGGCAGATTTTGGTGCCTGGGGGCAGATTTTGGTGCCTGGGGGCAGATTTTGGGGTGAAAAGGGGCAGATTTTGGTGCCTGGAGGCAGATTTGGGGCTGAAAGGGGCAGATTTTGAGGTGAAAGGGGCAGATTTTGGTGCCTGGGGGCAGATTTTGGTGCCTGGGGGCAGATTTTGGGGTGAAAAGGGGCAGATTTTGGTGCCTGGAGGCAGATTTGGGGCTGAAAGGGGCAGATTTTGAGGTGAAAGGGGCAGATTTTGGTGCCTGGGGGCAGATTTTGGTGCCTGGGGGCAGATTTTGGGGTGAAAAGGGGCAGATTTTGGTGCCTGGAGGCAGATTTGGGGCTGAAAGGGGCAGATTTTGAGGTGAAAGGGGCAGATTTTGGTGCCTGGGGGCAGATTTTGGTGCCTGGGGGCAGATTTTGGGGTGAAAAGGGGCAGATTTTGGTGCCTGGAGGCAGATTTGGGGCTGAAAGGGGCAGATTTTGAGGTGAAAGGGGCAGATTTTGGTGCCTGGGGGCAGATTTTGGTGCCTGGGGGCAGATTTTGGGGTGAAAAGGGGCAGATTTTGGTGCCTGGAGGCAGATTTGGGGCTGAAAGGGGCAGATTTTGAGGTGAAAGGGGCAGATTTTGGTGCCTGGGGGCAGATTTTGGTGCCTGGGGGCAGATTTTGGGGTGAAAAGGGGCAGATTTTGGTGCCTGGAGGCAGATTTGGGGCTGAAAGGGGCAGATTTTGAGGTGAAAGGGGCAGATTTTGGTGCCTGGGGGCAGATTTTGGTGCCTGGGGGCAGATTTTGGGGTGAAAAGGGGCAGATTTTGGTGCCTGGAGGCAGATTTGGGGCTGAAAGGGGCAGATTTTGAGGTGAAAGGGGCAGATTTTGGTGCCTGGGGGCAGATTTTGGTGCCTGGGGGCAGATTTTGGGGTGAAAAGGGGCAGATTTTGGTGCCTGGAGGCAGATTTGGGGCTGAAAGGGGCAGATTTTGAGGTGAAAGGGGCAGATTTTGGTGCCTGGGGGCAGATTTTGGTGCCTGGGGGCAGATTTTGGGGTGAAAAGGGGCAGATTTTGGTGCCTGGAGGCAGATTTGGGGCTGAAAGGGGCAGATTTTGAGGTGAAAGGGGCAGATTTTGGTGCCTGGGGGCAGATTTTGGTGCCTGGGGGCAGATTTTGGGGTGAAAAGGGGCAGATTTTGGTGCCTGGAGGCAGATTTGGGGCTGAAAGGGGCAGATTTTGAGGTGAAAGGGGCAGATTTTGGTGCCTGGGGGCAGATTTTGGTGCCTGGGGGCAGATTTTGGGGTGAAAAGGGGCAGATTTTGGTGCCTGGAGGCAGATTTGGGGCTGAAAGGGGCAGATTTTGAGGTGAAAGGGGCAGATTTTGGTGCCTGGGGGCAGATTTTGGTGCCTGGGGGCAGATTTTGGGGTGAAAAGGGGCAGATTTTGGTGCCTGGAGGCAGATTTGGGGCTGAAAGGGGCAGATTTTGAGGTGAAAGGGGCAGATTTTGGTGCCTGGGGGCAGATTTTGGTGCCTGGGGGCAGATTTTGGGGTGAAAAGGGGCAGATTTTGGTGCCTGGAGGCAGATTTGGGGCTGAAAGGGGCAGATTTTGAGGTGAAAGGGGCAGATTTTGGTGCCTGGGGGCAGATTTTGGTGCCTGGGGGCAGATTTTGGGGTGAAAAGGGGCAGATTTTGGTGCCTGGAGGCAGATTTGGGGCTGAAAGGGGCAGATTTTGAGGTGAAAGGGGCAGATTTTGGTGCCTGGGGGCAGATTTTGGTGCCTGGGGGCAGATTTTGGGGTGAAAAGGGGCAGATTTTGGTGCCTGGAGGCAGATTTGGGGCTGAAAGGGGCAGATTTTGAGGTGAAAGGGGCAGATTTTGGTGCCTGGGGGCAGATTTTGGTGCCTGGGGGCAGATTTTGGGGTGAAAAGGGGCAGATTTTGGTGCCTGGAGGCAGATTTGGGGCTGAAAGGGGCAGATTTTGAGGTGAAAGGGGCAGATTTTGGTGCCTGGGGGCAGATTTTGGTGCCTGGGGGCAGATTTTGGGGTGAAAAGGGGCAGATTTTGGTGCCTGGAGGCAGATTTGGGGCTGAAAGGGGCAGATTTTGAGGTGAAAGGGGCAGATTTTGGTGCCTGGGGGCAGATTTTGGTGCCTGGGGGCAGATTTTGGGGTGAAAAGGGGCAGATTTTGGTGCCTGGAGGCAGATTTGGGGCTGAAAGGGGCAGATTTTGAGGGTCCTGAGAGCTCCTGGAGGAGCAGTGGGAGTGACTGGGAGGCAGTGGGCCATACTGGTCTGAACTGGTTTATACTGGGATGGTGGCCGGGAGCATCGCAAAGCATCTGGGAACTTCAGGGTGGCGCGGGGGGGTCCTGAGAGCTCCTGGGGCTGCACTGGGAGCTACTGGGCCACCTTGGGGCAGCACCAGGAGACCAGTTGGGGTTACTGAGCTGAACTGGGAGTGACTGGTTTGTACTGGGACGGCCGCAGGCAGCATCGCCAAACGCCTGAGCTCGGTGGGGGCGGAGAACACGGAGGAGAACCGGCGCTGGTACCGGCAGCTGCTCTTCACCGCTGACAGCCGGGTGGACAACTGCATCGGTGGGGTCATCCTCTTCCACGAGACGCTCTACCAGAAGGCGGACGATGGGCGTCCCTTCCCCCAGGTCATCCGCGGCAAGGGCGCCCTCGTCGGCATCAAGGTGGGGACGCCGTGGGGACATCGCGGGGACGCCTGGGGGACACGGGGACGGCGGGGGCCTTGGGGATGGCG